CCCTCCCCGCGCCGCCGCCCTGCTGCCCGGGCCCGGCACGCAGGAAGCAGGGTGGAGGGTCTTATGCGCGCGCGAGCACTGGGCCCACGCTCACGCCACACTCAGCAGCCTGCCGCCCCTGCGTCCCGGTCAGAAGCTCTGCCAGGCCGGCACGGGCAGACCATCCGGTTACACAGACACACCTTGCACACACTCAGCCAGCTCCGCGCTGGCTTACACAGACACACCTTGCACGCGCTCAGCCAGCTCCGCGCCGGCTTACACAGACACACCTTGCACACGCTCATCTAGCTCCGCGCTGGCATACACCGACACACCTTGCACACACTCAGCCAGCTCCGCGCCGGCTTACACAGACACACCTTGCACACGCTCAGCCAGCTCCGCCCTGGCTTACACAGACACACCTTGCACGCACTCATCTAGCTCCGCGCCGGCTTACACAGACACACCTTGCACGCGCTCAGCCAGCTCCGCGCTGGCACGCACACGGCTCCCGCTCCCGCCCCGGCTCCCAACTCAAGGGCACAGGGGCTCAGGATAGAATTGGCCGCACCTCCGAGATGCGTTTCGGACCCCAGAGAAAGCCGGACGCCAGTGGCTCACACCTATCATCCCAGCTACTCAGGAGGATGAGATCTGAGGATCTCAGTTCAAAGCCAGCCCAGGCAGGAAAGTTTATGAGACTCTTATCTCCAAGAAACCACTAGAAAACTGGAAGTGGTGCTGTGGCTCAAGTGGTAGAATGCTCTCTTTGACCTGAAGAACCGAGAGACAGTGCCCAGGCCCAGAGTTCAAGCCCCACAACCAACAAAAACAAAAAGGCAGAGGGGCCAGGCTGTACTGGGAGGGCCGGGCAGGGTGTTCACGAAGGCAGGCTCCGGAGCTGACCTCCAGGGTGGAGCCCGCCTGCTCCAGAGGTCCAGCCCCTAGAGGAGCTTGCTTTGCCTAGAAAAGGCGGGAGGCCCCTGGGCGGGAAGGGGTCTGTCCCTCCACCTCCCGCGTGGGTGTTTGTGAGTTCCCCAGCTCTGTGTGCACTCCGCCTGTCACTCTGTGCCTGTGTGTGCTGGCGAGCACACAGGTGTTTGCAGAAGTGAGTGCTTTGTCCATCCTTGTGGATGTGGTTTGTGTTTTGGGCAGCAGGTCACTGCAGGACAGAACACCTGCAGAGCGGCACGGGTGCTCCGTCGCTGAATGTGTGTGCCAGAGGATGTGTAGGTGTGTGCGTCTGTGTGTATCTGAGCACACAAGGGTGTTAAGTTTAACGGTGTGTCTGAGTCTGTGTCTGCCGTGCCGTGTGTAGTTCTGCGTACTAACTGATGAGATGCTGGGTGTCTGTCCCTTCTCTACCGTGCCACTTCCAGCCTGTGGTCGGCGGGTCTGGGTGATGTCAGCGCCCGCGCCTTTCCCAGCCGGCCGGGCAGGCCACCCATGGGGCTCCAGGGTGCCATTTCCTGGGCCGCGTGCTCTGTCTGTCGGAGGGGAGATGCGCTGATAAAGCTTATCAGCCATTGCCAGCGCCGCCGAGTAACTGCTCTAATGAGGCCCCTGCTCTAATGAGGCCCCTGCTCGCTGGGCTCTCTGTCTCCCTTCTCCCCCGCTGGGGAGGGCTGGTGGGGCAGGGCTGGGAGGGGAGGGACAGGGCCTGGGCCGGCCGGGCCGGGGAGGGCAGGCCTGGGGAGGGCCGGGGAGGGCGCGGCACACGCGGCGGAGGCCCCGGGAGGAGGTGGGCGCGGTGCCTGGGGAGGGAAGTGGGGTCCCGCGGGGTGACTGACTCCGTGAAGGGTGGACGCCCCCAGAACAGATTGGATGCCACAGTGGCCGGAGCAGAAGCCCTGCCGCGGAGAGACAGACAGACAGACAGCTGGGGA